AACGGCAGAAGACCCAAGGACAAAAATTCCAACAGGAAGCTGTCCTCCGGGTCAGAGCCAGAGCCCTCTCTCCCCCACCCTGCCAGGATCGCTCAGGCCAATTCCCATTTCACAGATGACAAGACTGAGGCCCGAGGCCCATTCCCTTCCATGCACACAGACACACGGGCGAGAGAAGCACAGAGAAATGCGACGCCAGTCTCTTTGGCTCGGCTCCTTCCACGATGAGGAGGAGTAGCTTCTCTTGGCTACAGACCGGGGCGACCTTTTTCATTCTCTCCACTTTTATTTTTCAAGGAGCTGTGACTGTTTAAGAGAAGTTGGTTCCCGGGGAAAGCATTTGATTCCTCAATGAATTTCCATCGGAATGAGGTTTTTCCTGGAGATAAACCGGTGTTTTAGTTCCATTTGGAGCTTAATTGCTATGGCCGGAGCCTCTGTTGCTGCCAATTCCAATTTGTTTCGGTGAGTCTCGAACTCATTACCTGGGTGAGACGGCGCTGCGGCGGCCCACGGCGTCTCTGGAGCGCAGAGTTGGAGGGATTCTTGGGAAGAGGTGGCCTCGCTCCTGTCCCAATCCCAACACCGCTCAATAAATAGCAAATAAATTATTAAATAAGCCATGTTCCAAGGAGGGGTCCCTATCATGGTATTTACAGTGCAAAACAAAGACCACCAAACAAACAGAAAACAGAAACACTCAAAAAACCCAAATGTATAAACCAACAAAAATCAGCCACAGGTAGAGGGAGGGTGTCCATGACACCAATTCCTTGGTGGGAGAGTGAGAAGGGAGGGGTTTTGATCAATCCTTGCTGTGGGTTGTATCTGTGTCCCAGCGGGATTGACTGGGCCACTGGAGAGGGAGGCGCGGCTTAGGAGTCGTACTTGGGATTTGATTTTATCAGACCAAATGCCCTATTGAGCTGGAGGGGGAAGAAGAGAGACTCAAGCGCACGGGGGACTCTTTTGGATATTTGTGGCCAGAAGACAACAGAAGAAAAGCTGGAGGCTGGGGGGGAAAAAAGAGGGGCTTTCTGTCATTTTGGGGAACCTCTCCAAAACTGGACCTTTTGGGAAAGAGAATGGGTCTGAGCCAAGGAAAGGATGGGGGCCCCTGAGACGGAGCCCCTGATGTCTTTCCAACATCTCCATTTCATTCTGCTTCTGGAAGGCGAAAGAAGGAAACTTCTTGGAGTTTCCTTCCACGTAGGGAGCAAACCGAGACGGGATGAGTGAGCAGGGTCCCTGCTGGGGGCTCTTCCTAACTAACTGAAGGGGATTCAAATTTGGCTTTTTAGTCTTTACCTCTCGTGACTGAGAACCTCCTGTTCCGTCTCAGTGTCGGTGAGACTTGTCTCTGGCTTTGGAGACCCTCCCAGGCCTCGGGGCAACATCTCCCAAACTCCACAGAGGTGGGAACTTGGGCACAGGGAAAGCAAGCCATCTGCCCAGTTCCACTTACCTAGTGCACATCCTCACGGGAGGGTCAAAGGAATTGGGGGGGGCAGGAAGCTTGACCTGCACTGCACCCCCCCTCTCATTTTGGGTATCGGCTTTGAGCTACTTCGTCACTATGAGTGGCTTTCAAACACTAAGTCCTGTTTCCTGGAAGCAGAAGATATTGACAATGAAGAGCCAACAGAGGTCCAGTAACACCAGGAACCCATGGTTCTAGTTAATCAAGGTGACCAGCATCCCAGTACAGAGAGAGAGAGAGGAGAGAGAGAGAGATGGAGTCCCTCCTCCTGACCCACAGGGGCATCTATGAGATCTTGTTGCCAATTCTCCCCAGGGTAGGGGGCTCCCTTGTTGGGGTAGAGCGGGGCAGTCACATTGCCAGGGAAACAACCAAGAATGCTGCAAAAGTTGCAAGAAGCCACAGCTGGCCCAGGCAGGCTGGCAGTCACGGGCAGGGGGAGGGACTTCCGAAAGGGCAGGCGCCTCTCCAGCCAGCAGCCAGAAGGTACTGCCAGCTGGTCACAGAGGCAGGCCTGATGAAGGTCTCTGGATCTAGTTCCCAGGATGGGCTCAGAAATGACCTTCTTAGGAACATCTGGCTTTGCCCTTCATCTCGCTGTATTCTCAGATTCCAGAAATCGGTTTGCATCCTCCCCCAATAGCAATAGCAAGAGGTCACAGAAAAAGGCTAGTGCTGTGGGTCTCTCTCTCTCTGGATGGCTGGTACCTCTTGACCAGGCTGCCTGTGTCCACTGCGGACCAAACAGGGCAGCTTTCGAATCTCAGCAGAGGGGGAATAAGGTACTTAGCACAGAACCATGTGGAACGTGGGTGAAACCACTTAGGGAAGGCAGTGGGTGATCCGTGTCCCCGAGTGAGGCCAAGATGAGCATCTCCTCTGCCCCCCGGGGCAGCTCAGTCCTGCCTGATTCTTGTGGTGTGAGCACCACTTCACACCTCAACAATCCAGGCGCTGTGCCAGTACTGAGCCATCTCCTCCTTCGCACCGGCCCCCACAGGCCAGGTGACACAGTAGGTGCTCAGCTAGAACCTGACCCACCTAGAGATGGCGCATCTGTCTCTCCAGCTGGGGAGCCTCCCTAGGGATCTCAACTTTGTGCATCTTTGACTTACATGCTAATTTGGAGTCCAGCCCCCAATCCAAGCTGGGACCCAATGAGTGAACCCTGAGCCCCTTGGCTATTTTCACTGATGTCTCTGTGGGGCAGCTGGTGGGCAGGGGCTGGGACATGGGGCCTGGACCTCACTGCTCTCAGGCTCAGTAATGATCTTGGGACCCGTGAGTCCAATCTGGGTCAACTCCAGATGGTCCTGGCTTAGAGCCTTTTGGAGAAAAGGCCAACATCCCATCCCCCCGCAAAGTCACATCCATTGAGACACAAAAGAAATGGAGACAGCCCTCTCCCCAAACACACACACACACACACACTCACACACAGTCACACACACTCACACACACACACACTCCCTCTTCATATAAATAAATAAATAGTTAAATAATTAAATACTGCTAATGGTAAGAAACAAAAGGACGGTCATATCAATAAATAAATAAAACATAAATAAAATAAATAAGAGGTTTGCTTAGGAGCCCCAGGTGGAATGGTCCCCTAGAGTTGTCCGAATGAAGACAGTGGACAGGCAGGTCTCGGGGGCCCTTGTAGCTGTCCCGCTAGGCAGGTTCGGAAGCTTTTATCCCAGGCAGGGAGACTGCAGTGAGGTCTAGGTCCTGGGCGGGGAAGAGGGTTATTTACAGCTTCTGTACATGCCCTCCCAGGGCACCTGCCCCTGTCCTGGGCACCTGCCATCCGGCCTTCTGTGGCGGTGGCGTTGGTGTGGATGAGGCCTGGTGGGCGGGGCTCTGCTCTGGGCCAGAGGCCACGGTGGTGGGCGGGCAGGCCGGGTGGTCCACGCTGCCTTGCTCTTCTCTCCTGATGGATGGGGGACTTTGAGGGTGGTTGCCGGGTAGTCGCTGGCCCCTGTGTTGCTACGGTGGGGAGGACTTGGGAGGGGGAGGTCACCCTGCCTTCGGGTGGGGAGGATCCAGAAAGGCCGATCTCGCTTCCCCACACATGTCCCGACGGGCTGCTGTTGCCACCACAAACTTGAAATTCACCCACAAGCCTCCGGAGCCAGGCAGCTGGTGAGGGGGATGCCCGGGAGGTTATTTTAAGGCGCTTCGCCCTGGCCTGCCTGCTCCTGGTACCTTCTGTGGTTGAAACAGCTGGTGGTATTTGTGAGGCAGAGGGCAGCTGACCCTGGCTGCCCGGCCCTGGGCTGGGGGGAAGATGGGGTGAGGGCAGAAGATAAGGTGGAGCTTTCCCAAGTTCACAAGGAACCTCAGAAGCAGCCCTGGAGCCCCTTCCTTGCCTGCAGACTCTCTGGATTTGGGTCTTTCTCCCCGAGGCTCAACTGAGGCGCTCATCCTGGTAAACTTCCTGAGAGGCTTAGGCTACAGGGTGGGTGGGTGGGTGGGTGCCAGGCTGACCTGGGTAGGATCCAGGGTGTGGCAGCCTGGGCAGTGGGGAGGGGGCAGGCAGGCGCCAGCCAGAGGGCAAGGCCAGACTGGCTGGCGCTGGGGGCTGGCAGCTAGCCACAGCCCTGGGGAATGCTCAGCAGATGGTCCCGTGGAATTCGGTTTGTGCCAGCTAGATTTGGGCAGTGGGGCTGTGCCACTGTCTTCTCTCCTGGGGAGCCTCAGGGCCCTTGTGCACAGTCAGAAGGCATTTTGTGTAAGGCAAAGAGTACCTTACCCAAAGGCATGGGGCGGGGCCACCTGGTAGCCAGAACCTGCAGGGCTCCTTCCCCTGACCCTGCAGAGATGCTGGGGACAGCAGGTGAGCCTCATATTTTGGCTTCTATGTTTGTAACCAGAGAACACTTCTCCCATCTCCTGACACCTCCCATCAGCTCCAGTATCTGTGTCCCCCACTTGGGCATGTTTCTCCCTCTAGAACCCAGGAGCCTTCCAGCCTTTGCCTGCTGGGGGAGATTAAAGGATGCTCTCTTGTCTGGGACCTCAAGGGCTCTCGTGTCCTCTCTCACCTCTCTCCTACCTGGGGGTCCATAAAAGTACAGCCGTGAAACTGAATGAAAGGAGAATGAGGGCAGGTGGGACCCATTACCCTTGACTTTCTGTATACATCCCGTGAGCGGGACTGTTGTCATGTTTTCCTGGCCAGGATCCACATTTCCAGCCCTGGACCCATGGATTCTCCCAAAACCTTAAGAGTGTTGTTTTTTTTTTTTTTGGTATGTGCCAAAAATGCCATGGTTCCTTCCATGTGCCCAGGCCTGAGTGAGCCCCAGGATGGTGCTGGTAGAGGCTCCTAGCAGCCTGACATAGACGGGGAAGCCCGGTAACCCTCTTTTCTTCCTCTCTAGAAAAGCAGGAAGGACAGGATCCGGGAGACCTCAATGTCTGTCACCGGGGAGAAGGCAGGGAGGGCAGGCAGTAGGGGAGGCTGGCAGAGCCAAAGGGGTTCCCGTGGGCAGCTGGCTCCAGGGAGGGCCCTTGCTTAGCGCCTCGTGCTGGAGTAGCTGCCTGCTGAGCTGTAGCTGCGGCTCCTGCTCCGAGAGCCCAGGCTGGGGCTGCGGGCACTCGAGCTGCTACTGGTGCCGGTCCTGCTGCGGCTCCGACTTCGACTCCGGCTCCGGCTCTGACTTCGGCTCCGGGAGTAGCTGCGGCTGGCGGAGCGGCTGCTACTGCTGTACCAGGAGGCGGTGCTGCTGAGGCTGCTGGGTGAAGAAGGGCTGGGCCGGTAGTAGGGGATGGGGCGTTTCCGGGCACTGCGGAGACCCCAGAGAGCAGGCAAGGGTTAGACTCCCAGCCTCAACCAGGCAGCCCCAGTCTTGTCCCCAGGGAAGAGAGGACTCTTGCATGCATCACCCCCTCGGGAGAAAAAACAACCCACCCACCCACCAAACCACCCCCAACTCCTTTCCACTTGCAGTCTTGAGAACACCAGGGACTAAGTCTCATCTTAGCAGCACTAGGTCTTGAAAAGTGATCATGTCACTCTTAAAAAAAAAAAAATGATTTTCACAAAGCAAGCGTGGGCTCAGAGCCTCCAGCTGGTAACACAATTTCTACATCTAAACTTCGACTGCAGTTTTGTTTCGCTATTTTTACTTTTACTAGAACCTTCTATTTCTAGTAGTTTCTATTTCTAGACAAGAGAGGCTGATTTTCCATTTACTGTAGTGGTTGTCAAGTTTCTTTTTGAAATGAAGTTGGGGGCCTCTGAAAAGAGGCACAATATTATTTAAAGGAAGTTAAGCAAACAGTGTTACAGTTAATAAGGGGGTGGGGCAAGAGTGGTAAAGATGAGACAGGTAGCTCACATTTGGGACACACTGAAGGGGTCAATCAAAATGGGTTATTTGGAGTTGACTAAGGAAAACAGATGGCCTTTTCGAATGCCACTGGTTTGATCTCAGTTGCCTTCCAGTTGACCCGAAGGACATCTTTAGCAAGGGAATCCCTTACAAGTCGAAGCAGGTGCTCTGTGGAATCTTTGAGAAGGGGATTCAGGCATCCTGGTCTTACTGCCTGGGGCACCTCTTCTTTTTCTCCTCCACATCCTCTCCAGGGAGGATACACTGCTGCCCCGAGGGTCTCTGGATTGAGCTGATGATTGGAAAGTCAACCCAACTTTAGGGCAGGCTTCAGCCATTCTCCAAGGTTTCAAGGTCCGAGAAATTTACTTCCACTCAGACATCGCGCCTCTCTGAGATCGTCCCTGTGACAGGTGACCCTGTCCACCTATTCTGACCATTCAGTCAATAACAACAAGGGCACAGTGTCTGCATTTCAGTTTACAAAGTTCATTCACATCTTTTTGTTTCACTTCATCCTCCTGACATTCCTTGGGAGTTACATCCTCCAATATGAAGGGTCAGGAGAGGTGAGGAGATAGAGGTCCAGCCAGGATTCAACTCCAAATCCACCGTTCCCCCCTTTACTCATTACGATCCCATCCTTCTAAGTCCTTTCCACACGTAATCACATATAGGAGTATTTAAATCTGGCATCTGAGTATGTGGGTCCGAGGTTGAAGGTCTTCCTCTGCTGCCCCAGGAGATCCACCACCAGGTCAAGTCCTGGCCTATGACTTGGGCCTCCATTGGGCCAGACCCTTCTCCCTTCCGCAGCCCGCATCTCCCACCCCAAGGTCCAGCCACACCCCAGGCCACACCCCCTATTATCAGGATGGCCCCACCCCTTTCCTGTGGCCACACCCTAACCCCGCCCACATGGCTCTAGGCTACACCCACGTCCTGCCCCTTGCAGACCCCCGCAGGGTGGACCTGGAAGCTGACTCTGCCCCCAGGAGGGTGTCCCTGGGCTCCCACAGTTCTGCAGTCCCGGCGCCACGCAGGCAGGAGAGTCTGGGGTCCCACCAGGTGGGAATGGTGAGGGTGGGCACCCGTCCTCCTGGCCTCACCTTGTTATCCTCCGGGCCTCCAGGTGGCTCGGAGAGTCTCTCCGGCGCTTCCTCATGGGCGAGTAGGATCGACGTCTTCGACGCGCTCGCTCGCGCTCCCGCTGCCGCGAGTCCTTCTCGCTGTACTTGGGGTCCCGCTCCCTGAAGGGTGGCGGGGTGAGTGCATCGGAGAGGGGACACTCACGTCCTCGGCTTTCCCCTCCCCTCCGCCCTATTGGGACAGAGATGGGCCCCGGGAGGACCACCCGGCTGTGGGGAGAGTCTGTGTGGGCGAGCCCCGTGGGAGGAACTGGCGTTGGCTTTGGGGGGTCCTTGGGGGTGGGCATTACAGAGGCACCAGCGCTGCAGGGGTGAGCGGCCTGGATGGGTAAGGAGTGGGGCTTAGAATCCCAGGGCCAGCCCAGGGAGTGCTGGGTGGGCCAGGAGAATGAGGACGGACGTCCAGGGTGGCCGTGGGGTTGGGTGGGGTACTGTGGCTGGGACACGGGTGTTTGGGTTGTCCACTCTGATTGGACAGACAACTGCAAGAACACTGAGTTAACTCCCATCTCTACCTCTGCAGGGTCGAGGACGGAGGACTAGGTGGAGGACTAGGTAGGGCAGGGCTCGGGAAGCAGCCTGGGCAGCAGGGCAGAGCTGAGGACCCGAGCAAAGGGGCAGGGAGGAGGCGGGGCCTGACCCAGGAGGCGGGGCCTGTACCTGCTGGGGCTGTAGCGGGAGTAGCTGGGGCTGCGGCGGGATCGAGAGCTTCTGCTAGGCGGGCTCCTCTTGCCAGACTTGGAGGAATAGCTGGGAGAGCGGGAGTAGGACCTGGGAAGAGGGAACAGCTCCTAAGGAGCCTGCTAAGTGTGTGCGAGGGTTGTATGGATGTCTGCCGTTTTATTCACCTAGTCCTCAGGCAATAACTTTGTCTCCCTCCAACACATACCTCCCTGGAGGCCAAGCAGAGGAACCAGGTCCTTAGCAGAGAATGAAATTCCACCACCTTTGGGTGGTTAAAAATAATATGGACAACTTCCTTTTATTGAATGAATGAATGCTTATTATCCTGGCTACTTATTAGCTGTGTGACCTTGGGCAGGTGATTTCACTTCTCTGGACTTCTGTTTTCTCATCTCTAAGATGGGGGCAATAATAGCACTTACCCTATGAAGTTGCAAATCAAATGAGTAAATTTGGGTAAATCACTTAGCATGTTGGTGTGGATGCGAAATGTTGATTAGCCGACAGGTGAAATGTTAACTGTGATTATTATGTATTTCATTATGGACCAGACACTGAACTAGTGCTTTGTGTGTATCTCATTTAATCCTCAACATAATCTAGGACTAGGTATTGTTTTCAATCCTGTTTACAGATTGGGCTGTGGGGAGACAGAAACACAGAGATGTAATACAATGGCTCAGGGTCACACAGCTGGTAGAGGGCATGAATCTAGGTTTAATTGGTTCTAAAATGCTCTTGACTTCTGTAGACTACTGTAGTCCCCTCTTGTCCATGGTTTTAGTTGCCCACAATCAACCATGGTGTGAATTTTCCACCATTCAGTGGAAAATTCCAGAAATAAACAATTCATAATTTCTGAGTTGCATGCCATTCTGAGAGTCATGATGAAATCTCTTGCTATTCTGCTCCAGGCTACCAAGGATGTGAATCCCATTTGCCCAGGGTATCCAAGCTGTATATGCTACCCATCACTTGGTGGCCATCTCACCATCAGATTCACTATCCTGGTACTGGAGAGAGCTTGTGTTCAAGGAATCCTCGGGTCTACTTCATAAAGGCCCGTGAGTGGGAGAGGAGTGATGTTGGCATTTTGGATATGCCAAAGAGAAGCTGTAAAGAGCTTCCATTAAGTGAGAAGATGAATGTTCTTGACTTAATAAGGAAAGAAAAAAAATCAGATGCTGAGTAAGTTAAGACGTATGGTAAGGACAAATCTTCTCTGCAAAATTGTAAAAAAGGGAAAAATAAATTCATGCTAGTTTTACTCTTGCACCTTATACTGCAAAAGTTATTACCACAGTGTATGAGAAGTGCTTAGTTAAATGGAAAAGTTCTTTCATTATAGTGTTTGATTTTTTTCTGTGGTGGTGGGAGTCCACTGGGGGTCTTGGAATATATCCCTTGTGGGCAGGGGAAAAATGCTCTATATGATTGTTCATTCAAATTGCAAACCTTATGCTACTTTCAGTCTTCACCCCTCTCTGCAGATGCCTCCCACATTTTATTTATTTGGTACTGGGGACTGAACTCAGGGATACTCTTCTGATGAGTCTCATCCCCAGCCCTTTTCATTTTTTATTTTGAGACAGGGTATTCCTAAGTCAGTGAGGCTGGTCTTGAACTTGTGGTCCTTCTTCCTCAGTCTACCCAGTTGCTGGGATTACAGGTGTTAGCCATGGCGCTAGATGCCTCCCACTTTTGCAGAGTATTATGAGGAAGAAATAGCTCATTCAATCTCAGTGCCTCAAGCCAATGCCCAGCCCTGGCCCCTGAAAATTGTTTTTGACATCTTGACTTTTGTGCATTGAGAAATATTATCAGAAAGTGTTAACCTAATCATCTGTAACTAAGATTAAACTCATTGTTTCCGGTGCCTTCTGTTGATGACAAGGGATACTAATTTTCTGTTTCAGTCAAGAGGTGGAGGTAAAACAGAAGGTGGGCACCCGTAAAGGACATTTCCATCCACAGTGCCTTAAAGTGTCCCTTTTCTATGGAGTCGCATGAGTCATTTTTCATAGACTTAAAATCAGAAATAGCAACTGGTTCTATTATTAGTAGTATTAGTATTTTGGTTAACAATGTAGCAATTAATAGAGTGATTTTTCTTTGTTTGCCAGGGAGCTCCGAGGTCACGTTTGCGGCCCCTCTCCATAACAACTATGCACAATATCTTAGGGACTTAAACTTTCTCTTGACTTGATTTTGTATTGTTCTCCTAAATTTTCCTTTTAGGCTGATCTGTTGTCCCACTGATGTCCCTCTTTCATGTTAAATATTTTTGCCAACAGTCTTGCCACCTTTTGGGGAATGGAGTGGTCTTGAAATAACCAAGTAAGTCACTGGTGTTTTGGTTACCCAGTTCCAGAAGAGGAATAATTGGCTTTCTGCTGGCTCCCAGAACCCTAGGGAAGCTGGACCCCATGAAGCCATGGGTTGGTGAGATGGGATGGAATCTCCCAGTTCTTGAGATCTCATGCTGGTACATTCTGTTATATCATTATCCCGCATGAGTAATCAAGCAGTTGCCAATGGTTATTGAAATTGGGAGGTAGAATGCGAAACGGCCATGCTATTTTTATGTCTGTATCCTAATCACTGTGATGTGACTTTACAGCTCTGCCTGCTAGGAGGAGCATCCATGCACTGGACTGGTCTTAGGACTTGCTGTGGCCAACAGAATAGCAGAAGGGGTGTCATGTCTCTTCTCAGCCTAGGACTCAAGAAGCCTTGTACACCTTTGCTTTTTCTCTCAGAGCCTTCCATCACCATGTGAACAGGCAGGCAGGTAGGCCTGCTGATGGTCAAGAGGCAACACAGAGTAGGGATAGTTATTCTGGGGCCATCCAATTCAGCCAGCCTTTGGCCAACCCACCAGGTGACCAAAGAAATGCAATAGAGCCCAGGGAGAGCGGAAGAACCAGCTTGCTGAGCCCAGCCCCAGTGGCTGATCCATAGAACCAGGAACTGAGTATACATTTAAGGATGCTAAGTTCAGGGATATTTTTTATGCAGCAGAAGCTAACTGATACACATTAGCTCATCCTCATGCCAGTTGCAACAATGACAGCTCATATTCCATTATATTCTGGTACATTCTGAGAGCTTGATAGTTCTCAGAACAGTCCATTCTTTCATTTTGCAAAAGGGAAAACGGAGACTCAGCTGGTGATGGGGTAGGCTGGTATCTGAACTCAACTGTCTCTCTCCTCTTCCCAGGGGGTCAAAGGAAATTTCTAGTTACCTTCACTCACTGCCAAGGAGGAAAGTGTGGCAGAGCGAAGGTCAAAACCTCACTCACCTTTTTTCAGAGGAGGTGGATCGGCTCCGGGTGTACCTGGGGGAGGCTCTGGGGTTTGGGGACCGAGAAGAGAGACTGGAGGACCGGGTGCTGGCGTAGGAGGAGCTACGGGAGCACTCCTTCATGGGGGAGCTGCGGGCTGTGGAGGGGACCAAGCTGGACTTCTTCACCTCCGCACATTCCAGACATGGCGACTGAAATCCTCTGTGGAGGATAAAACGTCTTTGGTCACACAGCTGCCTGCCCCCCGGGGCATCTTGATCCATGGCCCGGCCCCTAGCTTTGCCTGGCCTGGGTGGGGGGGAGGTTCTCTCAGAACCTTCTTTACCTTCTCCCCTCCTGAAAAGACTTGCCAGGTGACAGATGTTCGAGGAGCAGAGATAGAAGGTGTGGAGCACATTTCACTGTGGCCACTTGGGCATATGCTATTATCCTGGGAGGTCACCCAGCTTGGGCACCGGTGCTAAGTGACATCGAATCACATGGTGAGAGGTTTATTTTCCTCCTTATCTTTGTCAGTCCCTCTGATTACATGGATGAGAAAGACCAGGCTAGGTGGGAGTGGGTTTTTAACACCTCTCCAACACTTTGTGATCTCCCCAAGAGAGAGCAGCAGGCATCAGTCAGGCTCAGAGCCTGGGGCAGGCGACTGTAATTCACTGGGATTAAATACATTATTCCAATCACCTTCAACTGGAATTAAATACAGGGTTTCAATTGTGTGTATTTTTATAGGTGCCTTCTATAGGACAAGGGATACCCATGTAGTTTGGTTCTAGGGATTGAACCCACGGTTGCTTAACCACTGAGCCACATCCCCAGCCTTTTTAAATATTTTATCTAGAGACAGGGTCTCCTTGAGTTGCTTAGGGTCTTGCTAAGTTGCTGAGGCTGGCTTTGAACTCCTGATACTCCTGCTTCAGCCTCCTGAGTTGCTGGGATAACAGACATGCACCACTGTGCCCAGAATGGAAAACCTTTCTTGACACTCTCCCAGCCCCAGAGAGGGCTGGGCGATCTCAGGGTGTTTCCATAGTTCCTGCTCCCCAAGTGTCCCCATTTCTCTCTGGCTCTTCTCCTGCCCCAGACAATGAGTCCCTTGGGGACAGGACTCAGATTTCCTTGGATACTATGTCCCACTCTAGCACAGGGCTTGGTGCACATATCCCAGGTCATCTGTAGAATGAGGGTTTGGAACCTTTTCCTTCCTGGGTTCTTCCAAAACATCCTTGTTCAGTCTTCCCAGCACCCTCATGAAGCTGGCCCTATTATCATCCCCAATTTATGGAGGAGATTCAGAAGCCTATTACCTGCTCAAGGCCACCTGTAGTCCCAAACTCAGAGCTCCAAAGCCCACGTCCCTGCCACCTCTCCAGCTCCCTAACCCCCGTGTCTATGGCTCCCTGAACTGAGACCTCTGCCCACAGCTGGCCTAACCCAAATAGCAGTGGCTTTAACCACCATTTATATTTCAAAGTGAAAGGCTGGGTCTAAATTATTTAATTTGGCAGTTCATGTAGATCCAATTAAGCAGGTAACTGCTAGGTGTCTCTCAGACCTCAACTGCAGCTCCGGAGACAGATCTGTATTTGAATATTAGTGCTGCCAAGTGTCAACCAAGTTTCTCAACCACTCTGAGCCTCCATTTCCCCATCAGTAAATATACATATGATACTCCCTCTCCCTGAAAGGGTCAATGAGGAACTAAGGATGATTATTCACGGACAGCACTTTGCAACATACTACCTATCATGTGTTAGGGCTTCATAAACATTAAATGCCATCATTTTTATTATTGTTGTTGTTATTGCTTTGCTTACTTTTTCTTGCATAAGAGCACTGCGTGTGTATGAGCAGACATGACACGGGGCTGCCCTGTCCCATCTGGGAACTTCACCGCCTGTTCTTGGAGAAGTTGACATTTGCTCTGACCCAGCTCTGGCTCCCGGCCGAGCTGGGTGTGAGCTAAGGCCAGGGATATCCTAGAGCAAGCCAGTGACAGCCCAGGTCCTCATGTACATGCCAAGCTGTTTGTCCAGGGCTGAAGCAGGCGATGCGTTGGGGACCAAGGGTGCTCTGTCCTTGAGGAAGCTGTTAATCACTTCTGTGCTAAGATTTTGGCCATCTTTTGGTAACCCTGACCACTTTGAACCAGGCAGACTCCCATCCCCCAGAGAAGGGAAGATCTCACTGCTGGGTGGTTGGGTGCACCAGCAAAGCCTTCCCAGCCCTCCTGCAGCGCCAATAAAAAGGACCCACCATTTTTACGTCCCCATGGACAAGCTGAGTGTGTGGCCTTCAGGAAGTGAGTACATGGGAACAAGCCGAGGGATAAATAACCTCATGGTCAGTGCAGACTAAACGGTCAGTCGATTTCAGTGGCTATTATTGTGACAGTATCCTCGGTGATTAGCATTTTGCTGTGATTTCTTGAGATCCAGGGTGTGATGAAGCCAGGCCATTACAATTGGCTCAGACACAATTGTATGAAGTGTTTTCTGCAGGAAAAAAATTGCATCTACCAAGTGTGTTGAGATGGGCTGAATTTTTTTTTTTTTAAGCTTCTACCTAAAATTGTATTGTGATTGATCTCTCTCTATATGTGCATGTGTTTTTCATGGATCAACTTTATGTTTAGAGCCATTTTAGGTGCACTGCATAATTGACTGGAAAGTACAGGGAATTCCTAGAGGCCCCCTCCTCCACCTGTGCCTCACTCCTACCACCAACATCGCCCACCAGATTGGTACACTTGTTAGGAGTGAGTCTTGACATGCATTATAATCCAAGTCCGCAGTCTACGTGAGGGTTCACTCCTTTTTAAACGGGGCAGCCGCAGGAGGGCTGGGAAAGCCATAGGTTTGGAAAAATGAAGGATGCCCACTTATCCCTTTGTGTTGTATCATAATATAGAATCATTTTATGGTCCTAAAATACACCTGCCTGTTCATCTCTCCCTTCTCAACCCCTGGCAACCACTCATCTTTTTACTTTCTTCATACAGTTTAGCCCTATCCAGAATGTTGTATAGTTGGACTCATCTAATATGTCAGCTTTTTAGATCGGCTTCTCTCACTGGGTAACATCTATTTAAATCTCACATGTCTTTCCATGGCTCGGCGGCTCATTTCTTTTTATCGATGAAAACGGCTTCATTGTCTGGGTGCCACGCTTAGCCATTCCCATACTCAAGAACGCCTGGATTGCTTCCGAGTTTGGGCAATTATGAATAAAGCCTCTATGAACATCCACAGGCAGGTTTTTGTGTATGTTTTCACTGGGTAAATATTGTGGTATGTTTTTTAAATGACGGTGACTTAACAAGGAAGCTCATGTTTGACTTGCTGCTGAGATTATTGGTAAAGCTGACATCTGTTTTCTGCCTGCCCAGCCTCCCTCCCTCCTGATAGCAATATTTTGACTTTTCCTGCTAGGGTACCTGGGATGGACGTCTTCATTGGTCCCAGCTGTGGCATGTGACCCATTCTAGCTAAGAGTATGACATCCCCTGGGCCAGAGTGACTGATCCAGGGGTGGGCAAATAATCTAAACTGGGCCAAGCCGCAAAATATCTCTCCTGATGTTTTGCTAAATTTTGGGGGGAAAGAAGCATTTCCCCCCATTGGCTGGCTAATCTGCTAGATAATGTTAGCTGCTCAGTATATTTGCCCATGCTCTGGGGGTGGGGGGGGGTCTGCTTGAAATTGAGGCCACCAGATCATGGAAGCAAGAGCTGAGAACTGTATGCAAAAGATATTCCCAATGATATATTTTTTTGAGCCCCTGGATCTAGCTATACCTGAAGTTAATTTCTTCTGGAATTTTCAAAAAGTAAGTCAGGAAGCCAGTTTGAGTTTCCCAACGCTTCTGGGAAGAGGCTGGGGTGCTATGATGAGAGGGTGAGAAGGTGAAGCTTACGGGGGAGGATGTCTCTCCCAATCAAATGCACTGACCTTGACTCTCGGCCCCTGCTGGTGGGAGAGAGATTCTCCAGAACAGCCCCCTTGTTCTGGGGAGAGGAGGTGGTGAAGGAGTTCCCTGAATCCGAGGTGTTCCCGCTGTGGAGCTCCTGGCTCTTGCTCAGGTCTCCCCGGGGGCTCTCCTTCTCCTGGCCCCGGGACCTGGCTGAGCTGGTTTGCCTGGAGGGCGGGGAGGACGTGTCGTTGCCGGAGTCATACTCCTGGGACCGTCCTCGGGAGGTGGCGAGCGGGCTGGCTGTTTTGGTAAACAGGTCAGCGGCAGACCCCGACCCAGTGATCTGAAAGCAAAAAGACCCATCGGACACGGCTGAGCCCGGGGCTGCGTCTCAATTACCAAGAAATGTTTACCATCATGATGCACTGTGACCAAAGTAAAGAGAGGAGAGAGACGCCAAAAAAACAAAAGCACAAATTCCTGAAAGAATACCACAGAAAGGAGATAGATAGAGATATATATATATATATTTTTACCCCCTGCTATGATAACTGGAAGATTTAGGTATCATGCAGAGAAAAAGCATGCGATCCAGATTAAACGAAAGTAAAAGGAAATTATACAAAATTTAATTTCTAATGAATTTTAAACTCAAACAAAAGAGACAACTCAATCGAAAGGGGGGTGTAGACACCCTGAACCTAAAGCAATAATACAAAATTAAAGAAGAGGAAGGGGGAAAAAGAAATGGGGGTGGGGAGGGGCTATGGGCCTGGGGGTGGGGGTGGGGAATAAATCTTGGAAATAAAAATAAAAAGGAGATAAAGTCAAAAGTTCAAGCTTCAACCAAATCCTCAATTAATGTAACTTCTTTTTAATTTTTTTTAAAAAAGTTGCCTGCATAGAACCCTGAACAAATGTCACATGGGGAAAAAAAAAAGAAATAAAATAAAGATGAGAAGTTTTTTTTTTTTTTTTTAAATATAAAGTCAAGGTCACAAATTGACATTTGAGCAGTTTTCAACTAAAGGGGAAAAGAGGGCCAAAAGAAAAAAAAAAGTAAGTCAATTAGTCGGACTGAAAACAAATTAAAAAAAAAATAATAATAAACAAAGGTCTCTACAGGTATTTGTGTGTGTCCTTTTCCCCTTGGAGAGGTAGCTAAGGCTCTTGAGTGGCTTCTAATAAATTCGCTCATGTCTTTGCGGATCATATCCACTTACCAAGCAAGAACTCCTCCTTTAGTAGGTAAGGTGTAAGAGAAAGGGAAGAGCGGGCAACGTGAGTCCATCATCATCAGAGTCGCAATTGACAAGAAAACACACACACCTCTCTGCACACCCTCAACCTTGGCCCTGACCTTGGAGTCTGGGACTGTCTGGTGCTCGTGGCAGGTGGGGGCGGGGGGGGGGGGGGGGCGGGGGGGGGCATCCATTCTGTTAGGTTTTCTCATTCTGTTAGGTTCCACCGAGTCAGCCCCTCCATGCCCAAGTTGGATCAGGACACTTTGGCTGCGCATGCCAGAACAGGGAGTGGCCCCGGGCGTGGGCATTGTGGGGACATGGGGGTGGGGGAGGGCTTTGGGAGGGGCTTGGGTGATGAGAGGTCCCCCGAACCCTGTTTGGATCTAGGAGAGATGAAGGAGGAAAGGACAGATGGGCAGACGGCCCTGGGGAAGGCAACCCGTGGAGGAGCCAGTTTTCTTTCTGTGCCCAGATCATGGCAGGTCTGGGATGCCACCAGGAGGGGTCCCTGCCCCAGGCCTACACGGTGATCACCTCTCAGCTGGGAGGGAACATTGGTGGGGCCGAGAGGGCACCCCCTGGACCCCACTCCCCACACCACTCCCTGGGTGCCTGGGAGTCCCAGACTTTTCTGTTCAATGCTCCCTGAGCTGCCTTCCAGGGTCTTCCCATGGCTCCTCCCAACCCCAGGCCATTTGTACAAGTGTGCACGCTCCTGTCCAGGGGTGGCTATCTGGATAGGGCCTGGGTGGTCAAGCTGAGGCATCCAGGGGCCTGTGTGTGAAGCCCATCCCCCGGTGGAGGAGGGCGCCAGAGGCAGGAGGCAGAGGGCGGAGCCTGGACCTGGGGGCGGGGTCTCTTCATACTGCCCTGCTGGCGGGAGGGGCCCAAGACTCTGAGTTCCACGTGACTTTCAGATCCTCTTGAAGGTATGCTTGCCCAGACAGGAGGACACGTATTGTCTAAGTTCGTTGATTTATGAACCTGTGACCATCTGGTATAGTACAGACCTTCAGTCACTTGGCTCCACACGTAGCTTCGCCATCCACAGCCTACATTATTGCCCCTCCCCCCCATTTGACCCCATGCTCCTGGGGCCTAAAGAGAGGAACTTCCTTAAAACCATTTGGTCATGACGATGTGACCCAGAGACACTGGATGGTAAGGATGAAGGGGACCGCTTCCCCAGCTCAGGATGCCAGCTCCTGGGGCTGGGGACGCAGGCCTGCCTTTTTGGATTCTCCCAGAAGGACGAGCACACAAGGAAGCCAAAGGTCCAGCTTGACCCAGGTCCACCCAGTGCCTCTTTACCATCTTGGCGACCTGGCTAGCTTTGTTTTGGAGGTGGAAACTCAAAATAAGTTTGCCCAGGTAGAGAACGTCTTTAAAATAATGCAGAGACCCTGACCCCTCTCGGCTCCTTCTACCTGGCTTCTGGTTTGAAGTTTGGGTGACATGTGTATTTCCATCTCCTTGGTCAGCAATGAGCAAGCACCATGCCGGGTGTCTAGACCCTGGGGCCTGGGCTTTGGTCTGGGGTGGGTTCAAGGAAACTTTGCCCCTGAGATGTGGGTGTCTGGGGGATGGTGACTCGGCCCAGCCCATCTTAGAGGGAATGAGGCTGGAAGATGACTCAAGGGCAGGGGACTGCTACTTGGGGATACCAGGCTGGGTCTTTCCTGGGTGCTCATTCCCAATCTTGGCTACTAGTTTCAAAGCTTTGTTCCTGGTGCATCCTGGGTCTCCATAAGTAGGGACTTGGAGTGTGAGGTCCCCCAAAGCTGGTGGATATAGAAGGGGCCTTGGTTGGCCGGGTTCCCACTCCCAACCCCACATCCCCAACTCACAAGGATGTTTTCCGGGACTCCCCCTTGGAACTTATAATGCTACACGCCATCATGCTTCCTGTCCCCACCCGAAAACAGAGATAAATCTACTGCTGAAACGTCCTCATCGGGTTGACAGAAAAATACCAACCTCTCCTGCTCGTTTAAAGGTCCCGTATCTTGGGATGAATCAGAATTCTTTGACACAGATCACAATGTCCCTTATGACCCAGGCCTGCCTATTTCATAAACCAGCTCTGCAAATTTCACAGACCTCCACTCTTCCACCACTCCCACCCTGGCTCCCACAACCCAAGCTGACCAATTGGGGGTTTCTTGGTTCTGCCACGGCTTGCTCTCCCAACCCCAGGCCATCTGTACATGCTATTTCCTCTTTCCAGAACACTCTTCCTCTCTCCCACTTGACATGACTTTATTTATTCATCCTCTAGGTTTCACATCACACTCTTTGATTCCCAGATCAGGATAGAACAACGTTCTGGAGTTTATTAATTAAAGATTCATTCATTCATTCAATCTTCCATCCATTCACTCACTCAAAAATGAGTGCCATCTGTGTGCTATGCTGCTGTCACTCAGCAGGGGTACCTACTTCTTTGATTACCCTTCTCTCCATCTGGGCAGGGAGCTTGTTGAACACAGGGGCCCGAAAAGTACAAGGCTCCATCCCAATTTGCACTCATGTCTGGCACAGAATAGATGCTCAGTAAGTCTTGTCTAGTGAACGAAGCGTCTTCATTGACCCTTGGCAGCCTCAGAAGACACAACTTTTTTTTTTTTTACTGGTTGATGGACACAATACCATTATTTTACTTATTCATTTTTATGTGGTGCTGAGAATCAAACTCAGCGCCTCATACATGCTAGGCAAGTGCTCCACCACCGAGCCACCACCCCAGCCCAGAAGACACATCTTAACCTAATTCTTTGGTAGAGATGGCTGGGTGATCAGGCCCCAGTAGAGTTCCATCTGGGTTACTGCCAACTTGGGGGATCTGAAGTTTTTTGGGGGGGAAGTAACTGGCTTCCAGCATCAGAAAAGCAAATCTATGAAAGCATTGGGGTCCTAAGACCAGGTGAGGGCTGGGTGTGTAAGAAACCTAAGAATCGAGTTAAGTCCATTTGCACACAACAGGGCTGCTAGCCCACACAGCAGCTTTGTTCAGATTATAATACGGGGGATGAATTCTAGAAAGGTACCTCCTCTGGCCGGACAAGTTAGAAAAGTGATACAGCTCTCAGTGGGTGGAGGCAGCCCCCCATGGGTCCCAGGGCTCGGTGCGTGGAGGAAGGGTGGTTTAACCTCCCACAGCGTCTGGGCTGGGTCTGCATTGCATGGATCTCACTCTACTGGATCTGCTTAGGGCATCCTTTGGCAGGAAGGAAGTAGTAATTTGAAGATATTCATTTTTTTTCTTATTCCAACTGAACCCCATTTGGACAAAGGACAGGGGAGGGAACCGCTGTTGAAATGCAAGGGAGACTTTGGAAGAAGAACCCTTGAGGGGTGGACCAAAGAGGCTCCCGTGTTCTCGCCGCCCCCTCTCCCATCTCTGGGCCTCTCCTTCCTAGCCCGGTAGTTCTGGCCCATAAGATGCCCACAGTCACCACGCGACATTGACACGAGAGGGCAGCTCCCCATCCCTTGTCTCCATCACATCATTGAGATAACGAGCCTCTCAAAATCCATCTTAAAGGGCTCTTCTTCATCTCCTGGGAATTTCTAGGCATGCAGCTGCTCTCTGCCTCTGCATCACTGGCTGGAAAATGGTTCCCAAGACCCTTGCCTGCAGGAGGGACCCTAGATATTGCTTCGTCCAGGGGTAACGCCTCCTGGTACCGGGGGACCACCAGGCTCTCTTATTTATTTATTTATACCCAGTCCTCCAACTCTCATGGGTCACAGGCTAAACCTGGGGGTGTCACTTCTCTGGCAGGTCCCGATTACCCCCTAGGCAGGCAAAGTAGGCTTCGGTGCCCAGACAATCCCCTCTGGAACCTGCAAGTCAGCTGTGTGCCCTGAATTGGGAAGAGTAAGGAGAAATACACAGAGTATGTGCTTCCCCCCCCCCCCCCCCCCCAATCCACATCGGAACACGAGCATGCTGACTGGGCTTTATTTCAGAGATGCTTTTTTGTGGGGCCCACTTAGCACATTTGAAGATAAATTTGAATCAGCCACCAACAGGTGTTGAGTGGGGGTGGGGTTCACATAGCAACCCCGTTTCCAGGTTTGGGGTTGGAAAAGAAGA